TACTACGGCTGCTACTACTACTAGTACTAGTACTAGTACTACTACTACTACTACTACTACGACTACTACGGCTACTACTAGTACTAGTACTAGTACTAGTACTACTACTACTACTACTACTACTACCACCATGACGACGACGACGACGACGACGACGACGACGACGACGACTACTACTACTACTACTGTCACGTATTACTATCATCATGTTGTTTTTCCCATCACGGACCGCAGCAGGCTGAGAGCCCGGCATCCATGGCCGGCACAGTCGCCTGGCACGAGCAGGCGCAGAAGAGGGAGCGGAGCGTAATGGAGAGTCAAATGAGTCATAATCTAAACTCCTTAAAGGGGGACTACAAAGGGGAACATATAGGGGAGTATTATGGGGGTTATTAAGGGGGATACTAGGAGTTTAGACTATAGCTCAAATGGCAAGGAAAATGGAACATGAAATATACACCAGGCTTACAATGAGGTTTATATGGAGGCATTGTAATTCTTTGGATTTCATAGTCTCCAGTCATCGCAGCTCACAAGACTACCGCCACGTAAAGTCTAGGGGCTACCCAAACAAACTAGACACTGAAGCCCTAAACCTTATAGGATCTTCGTGACAGCCGATTTCGCATGCATTCTGAGAAGCTTTGGGGGTTTGCAGAAGTCAGCGGTCCCAGTCCCGGGAGTTCCTACAAGAAAAGGGTTGGACACCAATGAGTTCATGTCAGAAACAAGCGATTCGTAGCTCCTGCAGGTGAAGGAACTTCTCACCGTCATCGAGGACAGGTGTGGCATGTTCCTGCATGAAACGTTCAAGCCAGAGGCGCAGATCTATCTTCCTCCGTTCAATAACTTAGGGCCTTCTTTTGGGGTCTAGATTTTGGCCCTCCTGTTTGTTAACCCCCAAACACGACCTGCATGTCCCAAACTCTTCTCGTTCCGGATGCGCCATCGTTTTCGGATTGTCCCCAAAAATTGTCCATGCCTTTTGAGCAAAAGAAACGTATGTCAACTTTAGACAACAAACGCTGAATTTGTCAAGCGGTCATGTGCTGCCTGTGTGCACCACAGGTCTCGTAAAAACACGCAGCACGCAGCCTGTCCATATCTCGAATGGCCTACAGATGCATTGCAGGTAGTCACTTCCATGCCCTGACACCCACTGGCACTATATATCAGCCATTGCAGTGTTTCTTACATGTTGCAGCTCATGGCTCCCTAGTGGTGTCCAGATTGAAAGTCGCAGCAATTGTCAAAAGCTCGACGCCCTCAATTTTCTGTGCGGGGGTTGGCAGCATCCCGATCTTCAAGCTAGCTAGTCAAGAAAGAGCAAGGGTATCGCCCAGCAAACGTGCATGACATGCATTTGAGTTTGTGTACCCGATAGTTTCTTCAGCATACAGTATCAGGACATCCGCATGGAGGAGGACAACTTCAAAGCTGGCGGCGAGCCAATTGCACACATCCGCAGCCCTGGCATGTCCAGTTGCGGGCTTAGGGGTGAGGCTTTAGGGGTGCAGGGTTTCAAGGGACAGATTTTGAGGTTGGGGTTGGGGTTTGATGTTCAAGGGCTCTGTCTGCGGGGTTCAATCAAGGTTATGCCTGGAATTCGGTTGCACTCCCAGATGAGGATCTTCCCTGCTACCTTCAACACTGAATCCCATCTTTTAGCAATGAGGAGACGAGAGGCAATCCCTTGTCATGGACTTGATATTCTTAAATATTCTTGCGTTTCATCACTGTGATTTGACAAGTGAGTGACGCACCTGCCTGCCCTTTCGCCCTGTCATGGCCTTGTTGTTCTAGTTCCTACAATCAAAAAGATGTCAATAGCATTGTCGTCAAAACCCCACTCGAAGCATGGCTGTGGGATTGCTTGCTCTGGCATGCTCTGGCGATCACTCTGGGGGTGGGGGGGGTGCGAAAGCACGTTTGCTGGGCTTTCAGGCCTTGTCCAGAGTTCTTCGAGGAGCAGCTGGATGGGGTGGATAAGGTTAGATAAGGGACCACGACGGTGGTTAAATCGAAGCGGAAAAGACATAATAATGCCAAGACACAAGAGTGTATTCACGTCTGGATCGCCATTGGGTGTCTTGAGCACGCAGCCGTCTGCCATTGATTTCAGCATGGTTTAATGATCCCCTGTTCGCCGCGTAGAGTTGACGAGAGTTGTAGTTAGTCCCCATGCAAAGCCCCTGCTCTTCACGGCAGGCGGCACTGTCAACAATCCGAAGTCCTCGCGAGGGACACTGTTCGTGCTTACCAACATACACTACAAGTCAGGCCTCTCGTCCTGACTTGGGCAGTCGTTTTGTTTTCGTTTGCCCTCGGGCACGCAACGATGATTCCAATGCGCGGTGTAAAATCATATTCTTCTGAACAGCATCCCTCAATTTCCATCTTCCTGTCACCCAGACTTACTTCAACAAGTCTACAGCTGTGCATTTCCCACAAACACAAAGCAAAGTTCTAGTAGAATGAGAACTTTGCAAGTTTAGACCTGAATCGAAGCAACACCCCGAAGCCTCGCGTCAGAATCTCTGATGTTGTGCTTTTGCTCGATTAGAATTCAGAGTCACCTGACCACGCTCTGGAGTCAGCTGGGTTGAAAGATGCGGATGGTATGTAGCAATAGCACTATGAGTGTGTCTTAGTCTTTCAGCAGGCTTTGGTTTCAAGTAAGAACATTTATCCATACGCTCTTGAGCATTGTCATATTTCATGTGCGCCCTGCGTTGTCCTCATGTCCATCTTGTACAGTGAAGAGTGTTTCCTAAGGAAAAGTAGCAGCAGCAGCAGCAGCAGCAGCAGCAGCCGCCGTCGCAGTAGCAGCATTGGTTGGTTCTGGTTCGGAATTGTCGTTGAGTGAAATATCATTCTTCTCGCGTTGCCATGTTCATGAGAGAGTGCACAGGCTGATAGTGATAAATTGTGGATTGCATAGTGGAGATCGGCTGCAGCAAAGTTGAGTTAGGGTTTGGAAATGGAATGGCGTAGCGGACAGAACTCGAGCATCACCACCGAGCTGAATGAAAGGGTCTAGCTGAGAAGGATCAGCCACATGCAACACTGTAACCAAAACCCCGAACACTTGAATCTCGAACACTTCAAACAAACACGCACAAGTCCCAACAAAGCGTGCGACCATCCTAGACTCCACACCAAAACCAAGCGCAAGTACAAACCCCACAAGCATAAATATCCCATACCAAAAGCAGCTGAGGCAAGGTTTCTCCAGTCTCCACCGTGGATCTCGCGGGTTCCGAGGATCCTGCGGCCTCCTGACCTGTGAGATTCAAAGCCGGTAGCAGCCAAGGTATTTTTTGATTGGTTAGCAATGAGGGTTGCTAGGAGCTTAATGGGGTCCTTCATCTTGACCGCCACAACCCCTCTTTAGTTCTATCCTTAAGGCCCATAGCATTCCTAAGAGCCTCTTTTTGGGAAGCTCTCAAATACGTTCAGTCATGAAGTTGTTTCTGCTGCCTTCTTCGATTGAAGTCTTCTGCTCCTGCATACACGTCTAGGTCCTCTTGCACATCTTGGAAATTCTGATAATTTCTGTATAGGTATAGGTCCCTGCTCGCGTTCTCTAGGGTATTGGTTGAGACGGTCGCTAGCTACATATTTGACGAGATAATAATGTCACACTGCTAACATGCCTGCTCCGCTCTAGTCTTGCACTTTGGACCTTGGGTTCTTCTGCGTCTGCATAATCCAAAACCTCAAACTTCAGGGGTGTCCTCCCAACTCGCATGAGGGCTCCGCCAGGGTGGTGCTTCTAGAAGGCCCTTAAACAAGGAAGTAACAACCACCACAATAATCATTAGAATATGGAACATTAACAAAGGCTCACCGTTTTCTTCCAAAAAGGAAGGCAAGGAAACCCTGAAGCCTGGGCAATGCGAGGTCATGGTCGGAGGCTTCTTGCGATTCGTGAACCGTCCAGGCAGGTATTATATGAGCTATAATCCAAACTCATAGTATCCCCCTTAGTAAGCCCGACCCCCTTTATGGAGTTGAGACTGTAGCTCATATGGTGGTAGGTAAGGGTATGTTGCCTCCGTATGGAGAAGCACGTATTTTAAATGCCAGGGGCGGCATTCCTCTTGGGGATGCTAAGGGGTTGCTTTGAGAAGCTTCCGTACAGATTCGGTTCAACAGGCACATGTATGAAACATTTGTTCTGAGTGGATTGGAGAGGAATTGCACGGACCCATGGCCTGTTGTGCGGGTCTAGAAGCAGTCTGCTTCATGAGCAATGGATATGAGAGTTTCTGAAAATGACCCCTCTAAAGTCTCAATTTGCCTCGGGAACAAACGGGGAGCTCACGGCTTGTTGTTCTTGAGCAGGGGATGGAGCTGTTATGGAAGTGCAGCACGTCCGTTTGCCATCCAGATAGAACCCTAGTCCATCAGCAAAATTCCTCACCATTGTTTACTGTTGAGGCCCTGCATTACGTCGCTGAGTGCAGGGAACTCCGCCTAGAGAAGCCTCGCGTTGGTTCACCTGGCTACCGCGTTCTGGGGATGGGGCATACGTGACTTTGCATCTTGGTCAGTCTTCCCACCATCACACCTCAACATCCTTGCATGCAAGCAGAAGCCCCTGCACCGCAAAACGCTTTCAATAAATGAAAAAAACCTTCAATCCTAACCTTTCCATTAGGGTCACCCCTCGAAGGTGTTCCGGAATGCGATCCTGCCAACGGCAAGACGCCAGCCCAGCTGATGGCAAAGCCGCTCGGCATGTTAAAGTTAACCCAAGTGATAGCCCGAAAACAGGTGGCAATACTTGGACGGAGTAAATGTTCACGGCAGCGTTCTTTGCCAACAATTTTGGTCGGTGGCCTTCGTTGTCCTGGCAAGACCTTTAGCTTGCAGGACCATGGCCTGGTTTGACGGTGCAGGATTCTGATGCAAGCACTCTCCAAAGAAAATGCTTGTTTTGGAACAGCCCCATCATGTAAGGCGCTGCATGTGTATCAGGTACTTGGCAAACCTCAGCAGCTATGACCAGATGTCTTCAAGCCTGGCATGGCACCTCAGACTGAGCATGGTGCTGGGATGACACGGGGGTGGTGGAATTGTTGCAAAAAAGAATTGGGGTGCTGATACAGGATTTTTCCGGATTAGGTTGAACATCTGTGGGGTTTCTTGAAAATGAAAGCTGCTTTTCGAAGGATTTCTCGTAAGGGTTTAGTGACAGTCAGCGTATACAATGAGGATGCCCCTTTTGGCAGTGCAGATTCACAGTTATGTTAGGTCTTACAAAGCTTCGACACTTCAACATCTAACATGATTGTGCACGACCTGAACAACCTGAGTATGGATGCACTTAAGGCCGAATGAAGCAAAGCCGTAGTGTCAACCAACTACACAATTACCACCGGATTGCGAAAGGAAAGCAAACGGCGCTAAGAACCCTGCCCAAGTGCAAAGTTACCCAGAAAACTGGCTATTGCTTGGCTCTGAGCAGGTGCTTCGAGCTTAAGGATGTGCTTGTGGAGTGCGACAAAACCAAGCCAGAGAAGGGCTGCGTAGACGTGCAGCTTGCTGGTCTCTCGGCAAGACAGGATGTGTACTAATCTGGTATAGAAGGGATTGATGCACGATATCACCCTGGAAGTTCTAGTTGCAGATGGAAGTCGAGTACAGTTTTGGGTTAGTGATACATGCAACATGTTTCCATTCAAACCCTCGTCAAGCATTTACTTTCCTGACACAAGATGGACGATCGGAATTCGTTCGACCCAAGCTCGATAAGCGCGAGCTTTGGAGATCCAAGGACAATACTGCGTGACCACGCGTCGCACTATTATTGCTGTTGCTATTTTCTTGTTGCTTCTGTTGAATGGGCAGCTACTAGCACAACTACTGTGAGGAGAGGTAGTCCTCCGAATGTAATGCTACTAGTATTCCTTGAAGTCGTTCTGCTGCTTGACGTCCTAGTGCGATTAGCTACAGGAAGTTGGTAGCTTAGGCTTCGGATTGCAAAGTGATTTAGCGGATTCATGCCTTATTCTTCCAGATTGTTTGGACTGCGATGCTTGATGGTTTTTGCATTTGCGCAAGATAAAGAAGCCCTCCACACAGTGGCTAAATGCTGGCAGCTGTAAGTCTAATTTTTTCTAATTGCAAATATCTCCAGGCATCTCCAGATCAGCTGTATAAGATGAATTGGTCGGGCAACACCCTGCATGTGCTAGCAACCCAGTCTTAACACTCGGTGGCAGTTCCAGTGACTGTCTGGAAGCAGACTTGACTGCCTCAGTCACTGCTCCGTCATGTTTGTTCTATATGAGCTATAGTTTAAACTCCTTCAAGGGGTTCATATACATGACTCATTAGTCTTGCCTAGCTTCTCCTGCAGTTCCAGGTGCATCCGTGTAGAACCCAGTACAACCTGGCAGAAACATCAAGCTACAATTCCTTGAAGAAAAGTTCCATCCTTCTAAGAAACCACACATGCATCTGCAGGACTTCCGGGGTGAGAACCTACCTGCCGGCCTGTCGCACCTTGGTGCTAAACACACATGGACGATATCCTGAAACAGTATAGTATGGATCCCCATATTTGTAAACTGGCTATCGGTCCCAGAAAGAGATTCCGTGTTGTTAGGACAGTACCATAGGCAACTGCATGAACCCTGGAAGGGATCCATAAAGACAGGGGTGGGGCAGTGCATGCCAGCATCGCTGCAAGTGAAAGTTCTGCTTCTACAAGGAAACTTGTGGTTGGTAACTTTCTGGGCAGCTACAGATGAGTGCCCTGTTGCCGCCAATGGCTTCAGCGGGCTTGAGAAAGCAGTTCTTGGGGAAACCTTGAAAGCGTTGATGCCGAGCAAATCTGACGTACATCTCAACATAGATGGCCGGAGAGCCACCCAACACCCTGATTTCTAAAGACCCTCCGACTGATCCGGGCGATGGCTGTGGCATTATCACAGGCCAGGACATTCCACACAATATGGAAGCTAAGCCTCGATAATAACAATACGACTGAGGGCATTTCTTGGCTACAGCTATGGACCTGGCTGCATCAGAGTATTTTCTGTGGGGTATGGGCAGCTAAAGCATTTCAGTCCAGCCATGGCCAAGACCATTCATCACTGGCCAGCAGACGTTGCCCAAGAGATTTTAAGCCAGACGACTTATATAAATATGTATATACATATATAACCCCAATATAAACCCAATATACTATAGTTGTTTCCATTTTATTTTCCATTATCCCAATATAACCCCAGCCAAGCCTTGGCATCTCACAAAGCTGGGTTTTGTTTACTTCCAGGATGATTTTGGTAGCCTGCTGCTCCAGCACAGTTGTGCATGGATGCTTGATTTCTGTGTTGCTTGATGGGAAGCAGAAGCAAGAAGCAGCCCTTCACAAGGAACTCTGGCATGTCCCAAGACTTGGACACTTCGAAATAAAGACCCTAAATGATCCTGGGGCCACAGGGATGGGAAACTCCTGAAACTGCTTGATGGTTGATGATCTTGATTACATGATTGCAACTCCGAGTTCTCCTCCTGTTTGGAATGCTGAATAGCATCCATATTACGAGAAGCATGTTCTTGACTGTTGTTGTATGAGATATTGCAAAGACCAGCGCGGTCACGGGCGAGATTCTTGTCGCCGTCTTGCAGACATTACAAGGACGGTGGTTCACGCAGGAAGTCTTTCCTGTCAAATGTGTCGCTTCAATACCTTGCTGAATGTTCCTGCCTCATTGAGGTTTATCTGGACCGATGAGAAATCAAAAAAGAACAAGAGTCCGGGCTGCAAGCTTTGACTCGTGCGCCTGAAAGGCAGGTGTTTCCGTGAAAGTGAGGCCTGGGTTCTGGGGCTGGCAGGTGGTTTTAGGGTTTCGGGGAACCAGGTGGCATTCCGCCTGCTTTTACTTCGAGGGTAGCCAATGCTGAAGTTCGACGTAGGGCCCGTTGTCATGCAGCCACAGACCCGCTACTACAACATCAGCTCCATCTCTTTGGAAAGGCCTACAGATGTCCGTCGGACAGTCCACTGCATTTCCATTCTTTCATCCCCGGAACCTTGCAGCCTATCACCGATGCGTACGTGAGAAGAGTAGGGAGACCGAGACGTGAGTGGATCACTGAAACTAGAAATAAGGCTTTTCACTTTTTGGGCGGCCACTGTGAAATCACCAGACTTGTACAAAATCCGGTTGTCTGGCACCACACGGTTGGCCAGCTCTTACCCGTCCACGCGCCGCCCGGCGTGACTGACTGAAGTGGTATTATTTGAGGGACTGGTGGACTTTCTACAAATTATAGAGACCTTACACAGCTGCATGGACAGGTCTTAGGCAGCAGCAACCCTGTGCTGGATGGTGAATGGATGAAGGGAACAAGGGATGATTTTTGTCTTCACACCTCGGATATTCCTAGAGGTCCGTAGCCGCTGTGAAATTCGAATTTCATGGGGGAGCTGAGCTGCGCTCATAGAGGCAGATTCAAGTCGTACCTAGCGATCTATATGGGATATACCTAGGGTCTTAGTCCCTGGCCACAATTGAATCACGATAAAAAGGGGGTCTGAAGTGCGCTCATACAGACGGGTCCAATTGGCACCCAAGGATCTATCCAGGATATTCCTAGCGTCCTGGAGCCCCTTAATCGAGAATCGGAGGTGTGCTCATGAAGACGGATGCAACTTTTATCCAATGATCTATGTAGGATGCTCTTAAAATCATTCTGTCCAGGACTTGCAGTGCGTGAAGTTGTACCAAGTATGTTTCGCAAACTTTAGCCTTGTTCAGGTCAGGTTCTACATAGAGATGAGACGGTTGCACAGGGACGCTTCCCGTAGAAAAACCTGAATGTCGACAGGCGAGTCACACAAAAACAGATTGCCTGACGCTTCCAAAGCCTTGGAATGAGGGAAGATGCCATAAACATCTTGGCATCTTACTCCACAACTAAATTGTGATCTAATTCATTCTTAGATTATGCTTAGGCCTAAGCGGATTTTATAGGACATTTCACCCCAAAATTTAGACCACGATTCAATTGCTTAAGAACTGGAAATTTTCTTGGGCAAATTGACAATTACCTCATGGTTTACTAGTGTCCGTGCGGCGCATGGGCAGGGCACTGTGTGATGTTTTGAAGAATTAGTTCAGGAATGTTCAGGATGTAATTGTTGTGGATTCAGTGGGTTTGCAAAATCCCGAACCGAGGCATTTGACTCAGAAGATAATTTGGATCAACTGTCTTCCGGCTCAGGCTCTATATGGAGCCTTTAGTTGTATGTATACGTAAATATATATATATATGTATATAGTTGTATTTATATTTGTTTGCACATGCCGTGTATCGACTGAGGACAGTGTTCTTCTCCTTTGATGAGATCTTTGAAGCGCAAGACCTAGGTCTGGTCATGTCACAGAGTTTCCAGACTAGTTTCGCTTGTTTACTGTAATGCCCCGAGGTTTGCAGCAAAGCCAATTACCAAGATTTACGACAAGAATCAAGGTATGTTTTGCAGAACCAGTAAATGCCGAGGCGAAGACCACAATTTGGCGAGGCTGTTGGCGAGGTAATTCTTGACGGTGTTCTGATTTGAAATGGAGTAGTGGCTGCTCGCTGCAAGCAGCAATGATAAAACCCACTGGTGTTGCTGGCAGTTGCACACTTGTCTGGCAACTGCCAAGCATGCCATTCATAAAGAAGGCAGGTTTGGGAGCTCACATCAAAATAGAGCGCAGAACAAGAAACACCACAATCATAGTCACGCCCTGCCCTTACTGCAGCTGAGACATAAATGCGCCATGATGTGCCCAACTGTCATTTGCCATGCCAGGCACGACCGGTTTTTAGGAAAATCTTGCTAGGCTCAGACCTCTTCTCCAGCGCTCCAAAACAGAACTAACTTCCAGTCCCTAGCCTTCAAATACGATGAAATTTGAGGAATCCGAAGTTGCGATAGTTGCAGCCCCCAAAGTCCAGGTGTGATTCGTCAGGTTCTGCAGGTCGCGCCGGGGGGGGGGGGGGTCCAGGGTGCAATGCAGCCTGGCGCAAGTTGCATTGCAAACAATCCACAACAGGAAGCTTTCATCTGCTCCTGTTCTGCCATTACATCAGATATCCAATTCTTCCGGCACTGGCATTTACAACTTACACGCTAACTGGAAAGCTATCTGGGAAGAGAGGACCACCAAATGGCCTTTCCGAAAAGCGGAAGGACACCAATCCTCTGGGTGTCTTTGCTGCGATGCAGACTGAATGTTGGCTCAGGATGGTTGATAAAGGGCTGGGCCGCTGTGTAGGAGTTGTTGTCAGGTTCGATGTCTGGAGCTTTCACTGATGCGCTTTTGTGTGTAACAGGATTGGTTGGGGGGTTTTAAAACCATACACATATTGCGGTGGGAGGGAATTGCTGTACAGTGTAGATGCAGCTAAGCAGAACCTGCTTTGTGGCAAGAAGGCAGCCTGACTTGGCCTTAAAACCCAAGTTTTGGAGCTTGAGCTACAACTCTTAAACCCTTGACAAGGGTCAGCAGTCGTGCTGGTATGTACTTGTCTTCTTCATGCTCCTCTTTCTACTAAGTCTTACTCATCATACGACCATTCCACATTACCATGAAGATTGCGATGACAATTTGCTACTTCTCAGCAGCAGCGCTGCCCCCACGTGCTTGCTGTACTCTTGGACAAAGAGCCACAACAGCTGCCACAACAGATAATAACCCCAATATATACCCTATTATAGTAGTTTCCATTTTCTTTTCCATTATCCCAATATAACCCCTATATAACCCCAATATAACCCCAGGTCTGAAATCATGAGCCTTGCAAGCCAACGTAGCCTTGCCTATGTACCACAATCCTTCTGCCTGCATCACATCCAGCACAACCTTCAAGGTGCAGAGTGAGGAGTGTAGGTGTTGGAACCTCGACTCATCGCGGCGCTCCCTAGCACTCTGGGGATCATGAACAGGGCTGGGCTGTACTTGTAGCTTCGTAGGGACCATTAGTGGGAAGCCATGATGTTAAGCAGGGCCCGACTGGTACTGGGCTGAGCGCCTTTGGGGGCGATGCATCAGAGCGCTGCACTCAGCCACGGATTGTGAGGCATTCAAGAGGGTTATGCAGGCATTCTACCATGAGATATCTCATCTGTAACATACGAATGACGTGGGGTTCGAAACAAGAGACGAGTTTAGGGTGTGGGCTGTAGTTAAGAAAATTGGGCACTTTGTAGGGCTTCAGGGCCTTGATTGAGGACATTCGTTTGGCGCTTGTTCACTTTTGACATAGACATAGAAAGTTAGCATATTCACTGAGGCGGTCATGCCTTGAGGTTTTTTGGGGGGTTTCTACAGGGAACTTCGGGGCTCAGCACCTTTGAATCTGGATTGAAGGTGCGAAGGCAAAATGGAGGGAAAGTTTGCTTGTTGGTAGTACATTACAGTTACTGGTGCAGCATTTCCAGGTCCCCTACCGTCACTTGCAGACCGTGCCGGAAGCCTCCTCCGCGCACGGCTGCTAGCTGATCATTGTCCTTTCGAAGTACAGTAGCTGTTGCGGTTGGATCTGATGGTCTAGCCAGGAGCTTTGCACTTCACTTCTCAATCTCCAAACATGTCTCAGGTTCCGGAATCTTTCATCACGCAGTCACGTGGTCAAAGCACACGGGCTGCTTTCGTCCACCAGCTCACATTGTAACATGTAGCGGAAGGTGAGTAGGCACAGACATGGACCTAACCTCCAATCCATGCCAAGGACAAGAAGGGCAAGTGCAGGAAGGATAGCCCTGGTGTGGTGGATTACATTGTCCTTGGCCACGCTGATGCATTAAATTACACCGAAAGCAACACGGTATTGTCAGTTGTTTTGGCAGCGCCTGACTTTGTTGGCATCAACATTAGCATCACCGCCGCCCGTTCGTCGATGATGTCCATGCCCGGCCTGAATTTGTATCAGGTAACAATGAAGCAAGCTAGCTGTTCTCGGCAAATTTTGTTCAGTGTGTGGGTCATGTTCGAGTAGCTTTTAATGATGACACCATTATTGGTGAGATCCTGCGTTTCGCAAAGGCCAATTTCATCAGGGTCGCGACAGTCAACAGTCCTGTCCCGGCCTCCATCTTCATTAACAGCAGTTCCCATGTGCTTAGATTGCGTTCCTTGCTGCTGCGAAAGCGTTGAAGACTTGACTTGAATGTCGTGGGGCGGAGGCTTGGTGCGGGGTTGGTGGTGGGCGCGGTGGTCGTTTCATTACGTAGCAAATGCCTACCTGTACAGGGGCCCTCACGGCCCCAAAACTGATCAGCTAAGGTGACAAGTACCTCAAGGCGGACAGGTGCCATGCCAGACATGTAAGCATTTGAGCATGTACTGATGGAGCAGGCCTCTTAGGTTTAAGTGTTTACATTTGGCCTGTTGCTCTTTCTGCTGCTTCTTTGGCGTTGGGGGTGGCAGAAGGTTTCTGTGCATGACAATGTTGACTTTGGCAAGCAGATTGCGCTATCTGCTGCATGAACTGTTCTTCTAGCTCCTCCAGAGAGATGACAGATAAGGGGGAGTCCTTGTTGGAATTACACAAAACTGCCCATCACCTGCAGCACTTTCCGACTTATTGGATGAGTTGGGATGATGGATAGAGTCCTTAGCACACCCTGGCCTCAGCATCCTGTGTGGGCTGCGGAGATTCAAGCAAGACTTGTTACGATTGGTGAAGTAGATCATGGCATCAGCACCAGCAGCTGGGATCGTGATCACGCCGAAGGAGATGGAAACAATAACATCATCGGTACGAACAGTGGACTATTCCCAAGGCCATGAGCCCCATGGAACAGAATGCTGAGGTACACGAAGCAGGGTGACAACCCTTCCATCTTGACAGAGGTGCCAGCAAGGCCGTAGTGAGTTCTTCGCAACGAGAACTTGTGCTGAGCATCCTGCTAATGACAAACATATCGCCATATGAGCTATAGTCTAAACTCTTCAAGGGGGTAAGGAATTATATAGGAGACTACAATAGGGGAAATTACGGGAGATACTAGGGGTTTAGACAGTGGATCATATGTAAGCCCAAGCGTGAAGTTCAGTGCCCATGCGATTTGTAGCTTTGGATGTGTCTGAGCTGCTGCAAGGGATGAGCAGACATACGGGTACTAGAACTTTCTGGTGAATGGGTTCGAGCATTTTATCCGCCAAGCTCGTGCAGAGCCATTGGCATTTTCTTGCGTAGGTGGGGTCGTTGTTCCACATCCGATTGAAAGGAGCCAGGGCACAGGGATGAAACTTCTTTGTCCAAGATAGGGCTGAATACCTGCCGTACACTACCCATAATAATGAGTCGTAGAGCGGAAAGCACCTGCGGTGTTCATATGTCCAAGTATGATGCAGGAGCCTGAATTGAAGAGAAAAATCAACTCCCCATACATAGCACTCGTACAGCTACAGTAGAAAAAACCCAACCGCATGCCAATCACTTGGGCCGCTACTTTGCTTAAAGCCCCAACTTTAAGTACTTAGGCCCCTACATTACTTGAAATTCTGCACTTCTGGAGGCTCACAGTCATTGGGCGGAATGACCCGAACTTCGGCGAATGGAAGACGAACAGCCAGAAGAGTGGCAGCGGCTGCAAGGAGTATTTTTGAGGGTCAATACTTAGCGTTTGGGATTCAGGATTAGGATCTGTTGTGTAGGGCATAGTGTTTAGGATCAAAAGTTCACATATTGCTCATAAATTTCATCGAACGCGAGACTGCCTCGGCAAGTGTGGTTACCTGCCCACAAATCCGTGTTTGCGGCCTCGTGCCCAGGGGTTCTGAATGTACCCACCCCAGCCTGGGCGGAACCCAGCCGACCAGCCGAACCCCCCCGTCCCCCCCTAGATACCGCAAAAAACACGAGCCGGGATCGTGCCCTGAAAGTGGGTAGGGGGAGGGTAAGCTTACTCTCCTAGTCTCCGGACCTGGATCCAAACGCCCAAGGCCTCCGGCCTCGGCGGATAGCCAAGCTTATCATGTTTGCAAGGGCCTGGGAGAAGTGCACTATTAGGTTGGGATTTGTGCGTGGGGCACCCAGCACACAAACGTGCTTAGGGTGCCGAGGTTGATGCAGAGGTGCGGGGGGGCTCCAGGATCTACAGGCCAAATCGCCATCTAAGAAGTAGTGGAAACTAGGAGTGTTGTGCTGTGATTCTGGCCAGTTAAGAGGCAGCTAATTATGACAGCTCATTATGTGGCTTCTCCACACAGATTGGTGGATACTTGGTCAACATGTGGGGGGTTGCCAAAGTATTGGGTTTGTTGGAATTGATGAAAAGAGGAACCAGCTTAACAACCTCCATGTCAAAGGTTTAGAATCCACTCTAGAGGACACTGAGTCCTAAACCATCCCGAACACCTTCATCCAAGAAAGAAGTTGACAGATATCTCAAGATTGCCCCTGTAACATCCTGAGCAATGCCTGCATGTTGTGCATTCAGGTACCCTGGAGTAATGATGTTGCACGGCTCTCCACAATTTTGCCTCCTGCTCATGCTCCGGCTACTCCATTTTCCGGCGGTAATGCTCTCGCTAGCGTGGCTGCCTTCAAAGTGATTCGCATGATTTCTTCCAGTTGTCCATTGGGTGTTCTTGTTATTGAAGTAGAAAATGGTTCACAAAGCGGTTTGTGTACTGGATGTTGTTGAACTTGGCCAAGGCAAGAATGCCGGAGAGGAAACAGAGCAGGCGCTATCGAGGGAGTTGCCTGGGAGGGATGAGCGTTTGGTCCAACGACAGTATGAAGAGCACTTTGCTGCTGATTTTTCACAGCTGCTTTTCATCCTGCTCCCAGCTATTCTTCGTACTGGTAGCACCTAACGGATGCGAAAACTGTCTTTTTTTTGGGAATCAGATCCACCTGTGGGTCTACGAGGGCAGTCAATACAATATCGCAATGTCTGACTCCTATGTACATCACCAGATTTTCTGAAGCCGGTTTGGACGTATCATTCAGGGTAGCTAATGTCAATACTCTGCGTAACAAGTATGTTTCGACACTGCTGCTTACACCTAATATGGCTTCCATGCTGATCACATGCATCTTCCGTGATAAGCTGGATGCTGGATGCGTTGGGGGCATGAACTCTTGCTTTGCGAGCTTGCATGACCCCGCCATGGGGATGCTGGCAGTCAAATAAAATTCACACGGATGTGCAAAATGCACTTAAAACTGATTTGCGCGCAATATGTTTCCTCTGGGCCAGATTGAAGCACGTGGGGCGCTGAGGTCTGTGAAATGTTTGTGCGTTTCTGAAGGTTCCTTATTGAATCCTGCACTTCACAAGATCTTGGCCGTGTAGGTTCGCGTCCCTAAGGTAGAACCAATAGACCAGGCTCATCAATCATCGAAAGCCGCAATCAAAGGGGTCAAGCAAGGAGGCTGGTGCATGGCAAAGAGGTTTCCAAAATAATGCCAGCCCTGAATTCTAAGACACTAAGTGCGGACCATGTCAATATTGGGGATACTGACCGGCTGCCGCTGCAGTGAACTAGGAATGATGCAGATCCTGAGGCTTTCATTTCACACCATGTTTGGAAGGATTATAAGAGGGATGATAAAAGGGTATTTAGTTATAGGGTATTGTTGAAATTTATAAGCCATCAGAAAGTACAGGTTCTCATGGGGATGGTGATGGGCTGTGTGAAGCAGGCCTTTTCAACACTTTCAAGCAAGCAGGCGATGCATTGTTTCACACTCCCTTGAAAGAACCTTAGCGCCCAGCACTCCTCCCTGCGCAGTGGTATCGGGAGTTGTGACAACCTGGCAAGAACTTAGGGAAACCATCAAAATCCGAAGAAATGCAAGAAAGTATCCTTACCTGACGGGAATTATGTGAAGAACCCGACCGACAAAAGGATCCGGGAATTACAAGTACCAGTACGTGTGCCTGTAGAATTGCTGCAACTATTACCATTAGTATTGCTGCTCTTACCACCCTGCAGCCATGTGTATCTTCTACTGCTATCGCTTCTACTACTACTACTACTACTACTACTACTCTAACATCAAGAAGCAGTTCCCCAAAACAACAGCGTGCAGAGCAAGTATAGGGCGGAGTCACAAAACGTGTGGAATAACCTTTGTTGAGCGAGCGCATACCTAGCAGCAGGCTCTAAATGATGCATGCTCATCGCGTCTTGTGGGCAACAGGTTGCTTGAACCCCCGAAACTAAAGCCGCCTCCAGGCCCCAGGCAGCCTAAGCACCTACACGCGTCAACCCGGTAGCCTTTAACGTGACCCAAGCCTCAGAAGGTGCTCCAGTGGAAGGAGAACCGGAATTGGTTTTTCAACGCGCTCAAAGGGCTCATGGAACGCTTTGCGGCAAGGACCTTCAGCTGCAGTGCAAGCACCGTTCGACGGATGTAGTGGTTGAATTTGTTCGCGTCTTGAGGCTTTCAACTTGGCTTTCAGAACAAAGCAGAGGGTCCGTTTGGTTCGCTTGGCTCAGGCAAAACAACAAGGAGTTCGACCGACACCTCAGATACTTCACCTCAGCCATCGGTCCGGTGGTAGAGGAAGCCTTCTTCATCAACGAGGCACTCAACGACATGAAAGGACTGGCCGTAGGAAACTCAGGGGTTTAGAAGATGAAGGGAGCAGGAAGTGTAAACGCCTGTCAGTGCAGATCCCAATTTTCCGGGAGGTAGACAGCAGCCTTTCTGAAACGTTGATTTTCAGAGCCTATGATATTACGTGCCTCAGCGACAGACTACCCTTACTGGCAAACAGTTCACACATCTTTCAGTTGTGAAGCAGCCATATCCTTTGATACATGTCATGCGGCCCCGCGGTATTCAATGACTGTTATATGGTAGGTCAAGAGATTTTTCCAGCCACGCATATTGGATTATTGGATGCACTGGACATTGGGTGTAGGCTCTGAATAATAGTAATAACAATAATAATAATAACAATAATAATAAGAACAATAATAACAATAAGAAGAATAATAACAATAATAATAACAAGAATAACAATAATAGTAATAATAACAATAGTAATAAAAAAAATAATAACAATAATAAGAATAACAATAATTATACTAACAAGAATAACAATAAGAACAATAATAATAATAACGATAATAGCAATATTAATAATGATAGCAATACTAATAAGAAAAACAATAACAATAATAACAACAATAATAATAACAACAACAATAATAATATCAATAATAATAACAATAACAATAACAATAATAACAATAACAATAATAACAATACTAATAACAATAGATAATAATAATAACAATAACAATAATAGCAATAATAATAACAATAATAACAATAATAACAATAACAGTACTAATAACAATAACAATAATAACAATAATAACAATAAGAATAATAACAGTTCTAATAACAATAACAATAATAAGAATAATAATAATAGTAATAAATAACAATATGCTTCGAATCAATGGCTCAGAGCTGAACTTATACTGAGGTGGGTTTCGTCAAAGGAGACGATTCCAGTGCTTGTTATGGACATCAATGTGGTAGTTTCCCAAAATTGGATAGTCCCCCAATATAGACCCCAAAATACTATAGTCCTTATTATTGGGACCTCCAAAATACCGCTAATTTTTGGGAACCCCCCATGTTGAGCTAGTGACCTTTGCTTGGCTGTGCCCGTCTTGGAGGATACCTCGGTATTTGGGCCAAGGAGAGCCAAATGGAGCCGCGTCCTCGGGCTTGAGTGGACCTGACTGGATACCAATCCAGAAAAGTCGTAGCAACAGCAGCAACCGGAAAAGTAGTGGCAGTGGCAGCTGCATGAGCAGGAGTAGTAGCAGCAGCAGCAAGAGCGGCGGTAGGAAGTACCCCCTGCAGTAGCGGCGGGACAGGAGAACTCAAGGCGGTAGTATCTGTAGATGCAGGAGGAGGAGAAGGACTTAGAGCAGTAGTAGCTGCAGTTGAGAAAGGAAGAGGAGGAGCAGAGTCACAGTCAGGATGTTCAGGAGAACTGCGACCACGTAAAGGCTTATTGGCTACAGAATTTAAGCGGCAGGTGTGAGGAATGTAGCCTAAGTCGGGACACGTCCCGCTCTGGCCCAAAATAGGGGTCTCCTTGATAGACGGAAAATGCAGGATCGCAATGTACTTCTCGCTGAGAAAATGTTTCTTTGGTATCCTTCGGACACTTAGCACCTCGTCCGTTTGATCGGGCGACCCTGGTCACTCCTCCTGCTCCTCCTGGCAGGAAGGAAGGTCTACCCTCTCCTTCTGCTTAACATCCATGTGTACCCTACCAAAAGCATGCCTGCCTCCATCCAATGAGGTTTCCGGGACGTCAGGTTTTGTTTCCTAATGGCTACAAGGAGTTCCGAAGCGCTCCCTGCTTCGGATCTTGAACTGTCATAGGCCTCTATCCTCAGATCTCACCCGGGCTTCATAACTCAAAGTTAAAGTCCCAAAGCCAAGAGCCTGAAAAGCGGCCCCAGGCCTCCGGGAACCATCCTCAACCTCTGGCCACCGAAGGCCTTGCAGGCACCTCCATGTCCGTCCGGGTTTACTTAGTCCAGGTTCGGGATGGTTTTCCTTGTACACTGCAAAAGCATCCTGTTCTCTTCCTAGGCTGATAGGGATGGAGTTTAGCCTGAGGCTGGTCAGCCTGTCCAGGCATCTCATTATGGACACTGGCATGCTGAAGCGTTCAAAGTGCAACATAGATATCTCTTCTGTACAACCTGTTTTTCAGCACGTATCCATTTCATCAGCTGAAGCCTACAAAGCCCACTGATGAGTTGTCGTGTATTCGGATGAAACACAATCAAGCTTGGTGTTGCCCTCACACGTCCCGTCCTGTAGCTTTCTAATGGGGTGGCGTCTTATACCAACCCTCGGATTTCCGACTCTGAGATGTACGGCTAAGTATGGGTTATGAAATAGTTTGCCCATCTATGATTCTGCTATATTCTGCTTCTAGCTACGCTTAACCCTTACCGTTTTGGAATCCCTAACTGTCCTGCGGGCTAAAACAGCCAAGGTGAAGGGCAAGATCAATCAGCTTGTTGACTACAGCCCCGGCAGCAAGATCAGCGAGGAGGTCCCAAGCAGACGTGATGGAGACTTCTTTCAGACGTAGCTTTCAGGGCTCAGCATGGCTTTGTCAAACAAAGATGGTGGATGATTCTTATAGAAGTAATTCTCCAATGAATCTCCTCATTTGGCATGTACCTGTTTTCCTGGCAGTGCTACCCCAACGGGGCCGGCATCCCAAGTCATATGTCCGCTACTTCATCCATGGTCCAGTTGGTGGTGGGCATCCCTTGCATGGAGCTTGTATCTTGTGAGCGGACACTAGTCAAACAAGTGGACAGTCTAGGGGTCAGCGGCCGCTAGCTATCATAGATGGATTTCCAGGGATGTTACTGTTACTGACCCTAGAACCTAGACACTGAGTAGCAGTTTTCATTTGATTTTCCATTCTCGTTTCCATTCGCTTCTCCATTATCGGGATTATATCCTATAGATCCTTCCCCCAAACCCTGTTACACCGCGTTGCAGAGGTGAAATAAAAAAAGGCCAGGGTGAGGCTTGTGCAGTTGCGTGGGGCCTCTCCATCAACGCAGCTTCCTGTTTACGCTTCAAGTGCGGTACACCATCAGCACAGGGTGTCTTAGAAAAGAACCTTGGCGCTTTGTGATTCCTTGGAAGAGTCCCGACAAGGCCCCCACATGTCAAGATTAGATGCAGCATAGAGCTGTCAGTTTGACTCAGACTTGAAAACAACAACAGTTCTGCATCCCAACGCTGGGCAAAAACTGAAGTTTTTCGCCAGCATCGTCAATTAGATTGTATACTGATATTCACTATGAGCGTGGTGGGGCTGCTGTCATGTGGGAAGGGATTGCTCGAACAGATTTTGTTCGTTTACAAGTTTGAGTCAGTTCAGGGGTACAGCATCTACAACTTCATCCGAGCGCTGGGAGAGGAAGAAAGCCCCGTGGAAGCACAATATGGGGATTAGGGTTTAGGGGCGAGGGTTTAGGGTTTATCATTGGGGTAAAACGGGATAATGAAAAATACAATGGAAACTACTATTCTATAGTAGGGTATATATGAGGGTTCTATTGGGGTTATATGGGGATAATGGAAAAGAAAATGGAAACTACTAGGTGCGGTGGTACGAGAGAGCAAGGGACATGTTTCCATATGCGCGACACTATAGCAGGCGTGTGATTTTTGAGAGTAGTGTAATTTTTGTTGAAAAATTGGCCCCTCGGGTTCGGCAAGTAGTCTGGGATCCGCAGATGACGAGCTAGATGTTGTTTGTTCATTTTCTGTTTTGTGTTGGTCCTCACGAAGTTGCAGCTTGTTTTGTTGTGCCTTTCCCCAGCACTTGTTTAATCTGATAGCCAACCGTTGTTGTCAAAAATGGACTGCGTCATGGCAGTCGTGGTAGGAGGACTGACCCAATCTTTTACATTTAAGGATGTAATTTCAAATAGTTCCTAAGAAGAGTCTTAATTGAAATACTCCCTAATAGCGTATCAATCTGAATTAATCCTTAACCAGACTCTCCGTTGAAATAAGCCCTAAGAAGGCTCTAATTTCAAATAATCCCTAACAAGAGTCCAAATCGAAATACTACTTTTCTACTAAGGTACACGCCTGAAACACTCCCAACTAAGACTTAAATAAAACCAGTCTCTACGGAGGTCCTAATCTCAAATCTTCCCCAATAAGTGCCGAATCTGCCATGTTCTCTCCCGAATAAGGTACAAGACTGAAATCGCTTCTAATGAGACTCAAAATTGCAGTAGTCCCTAAGAAGGTATTAATTTGAAATAATCCCTAACGAGAGTCTCAGTTGAAATAGTCGCCAACAAGGTACTATTTTCAAATCATCCTTAACAAGAGTCTCAATTGAAAGAGTTCTTTCGAAATGAGGCGCAGATTTGAATTTCTTAATTTGCAATATTCCTGAATTAGAGCTGATCTTGAAATAGACTCGAAGAATGCCTCAATTTCAAAGGTCTTTATGAAGGCCCTGACGGAAGATAGTCTCTAGGAAGGCACCAGTTTGAAATATTATCGCATAACGTACTAATAGGAAATACTTCCTAAGAAGACCTTGAACTGGACTAGTTCCTGATAAGGTCCCGATTTGAAAAAATCTTGCCCCTCGCAATGACCCCGTGCAACCCTGCAAAACCTGAAAACTCCAAATGAACGGTATCATGTCCCCCCCCACCCATGCAGCCCTGCAAAACCGGAAAGTTCCAAATGAACGGAATCATGACCCTCCACCCATGCAGCCCTGCAAAACCGGAAAGTTCCAAATGAACGAAATCATAACTCCCCACCCATGAAACCCTCCGGAACATAAAAGTGCGCGAAAACACACGGGCAGCTATGTGCCGCACTCCAACTGCTAGGGTTTAGGGTTCGGGGTTTAGGCTATAGTCCCCTTAAGTAGATAGAATATGGGGTAGATGGAGATCTTATTATAATATACCCAAAGCCATATTCTATCTACTCAAGGGGGACTATAAGCTCCTAGTGTCCCCTCTAATAACCCCTATGACACTCCCCTATATAATCCCCTAAATAACCCCATTTGAAGGAGTTTAGACTACAGCTGATGTAACAAGTGACAGCCTCCAACCCGAAACAAAATTCTGGTAATCCCCCGTCAAATCAGAACCTACAGCTAGCATGTGACCGCACAGGGGTCTAAATTTAAGGATTGCAGTCACAGTATTCCATCCTGATCTGATGAAAATAACACCCGAAACCATAAACCCCAAATCCTAACTGTCGGCCAGTGCTTATGGCGGATCAACAGGTGCAATTTCCAAGTGACAGCGACTTGTGGTTGGGAGAGTAGCCTTCATTGCACAGCCTGGGCAACAGCAATGGAGTGTAGAGGACTCAAGGTTAGATAAAGGAGGGTTTAGGGTTTAGATAAGGGCCTTGAGTTTGCAGGGCTGCGGGCATGTTCTTCTTGTACCTGTCCAGTGCTCGACCACGATGGAGCTGGAAGCATGCCCATTCAACCCTTAGCCGAAACACCCCTCAGTGTCTATCACCCGACAAGATTGAAGCACAGGGGTAAGCCTGAGGAGATTGTGATGCAATCGTTTATGGGCGTTTCCGAGCAAACAAGACAAAGCGGTCTCTTCTTGGGGGCGTTCCACAAATAAGGATGATCGTATTTGGAGGCCCACTACGGGGGCTCCCCATGTATGAAAGCCACCATGCTACATATGTCGAAAAACCTTCAATATGGTCCGGGCTCAAGTATTCTAAGGCTGCAGGTCATGTTCATGCAAAAGCATTCCAACGCCGTTTTCCCGTCGGTAGCTACGCCTACTTCAGATTTTTGGAATGGCCTTGGGGTTAGGATTGCAGAGAGGGGCTGCTTGCTGGAGGAGCTCCGGGTTTCATGGTCTAGTAGGCCTTTCAGAAGACCTGCAATCCTGGGGAAACATTGATGAAACTTTACAACATCACAGAAGCAATGCTTGGAGCTTCCTGGGTCATGACATCTCAAGGCGCTCACCTGTTCAAATAATTGTTGAATCCTCAACCCCAATCCCAGCTCATGGCTTATGACCAAGCAGCGTTGTGCATCCGGTGCCCGAAACAATCGAGTTGCCCTGCACAGGGATACCGTACACGCACGAGGGCTTTTGGTTGTGACACAGTACACATGCCATGCACGGAGGACG